TTTTCCATCGTGTCTGTTTCCCATATTTGATCACGTGAGACATGCTGGGAAGGAAAGTTTAATTGCTTCTGGGGATGAGTTGTTTCGTGAAACAAGCATCCATTCGCTTCAGTTGCTGTGCAATCTTTTCAATACCTTTTACAAGGTATTGATGAGCTTGATATTGATTTTTCAACATTTTTGAGTCTATTGGTTTCTCTAGTGCTTGATTAAGCATTAAAGTTATCAGGGGAATGCTCATGTTGTGTTGTCTTGAATTTTTGCAGCAGAGCAATTGATGCTATTGGTAATATTCAAATAGACCTAGATAACAATATTAGAGCTGAAATAGTAAAAATTATGAGAGTAATTGATGCTATTGGTAATATTCAAAGAGATCTAAATAACAATATTAGAGCTGAAATAGGAAAAATTATGTACAGACCATAATCGAGGTGCTAGCTATGAGTTACTGAATATATACATAGAAAGTTCATCAAAAGCATGATTACCTAAAGTTAGCATGCTTACTGATGCCCATGGAACATTATAAGGTGTAATTCCAAGACACAGGAAGATATCATTATTGCAAGTCTTATACTGCCAAGAGTTCCCTTGGGTTATAAATCAAATGCTTGTTTTTGTCAGTTGGATGTTGAACATCTAATTTCCTTGTGCACATTCTATATATTTATAGGGATAGCTAGAAGAATCTCTGATGCCGGACAGGGTTGTTGTATGTTGACAGCCAGCTTAGACCTAGTTTAAGAATGTTACATGGATGTAAATTTTAAGAGGGATTGTTATTTTTTTTCAACAAGTTTGTTAGAAATAGTATGTAAGTTTTTAATTGGCACTGGGAATTGAGGAGCAATAACACTATTGAAGGTTCCACTCTTTTCTTGCATATACATAAATAAACATATATATACAAAAGAAGTTCCCTTCTTTTGATTTACTTCTTGTGAGTCTCACATTTATAGACTCGATCAGTAAACTAGTTAGGGAATTATTTTACCACGTGCAAGTGTGAGTGAAGAGGCCAAAGCCGAGAGTGAGTGGTTCAACGAAAGGGTGGCTCAATGGTGAGTGGTTCGATGGAGTCCGAGTAGTTGACGAACCGTGAGGGAAGATTGGTTCGAGTTACTGACGGAGACTATTTGTTGAGCTTGAGGGAGGTTAGGGTTTCTTCGAGCAAGGGAGAGGTTGCGAGAGTAGGTGAGCATCTTAGGCGCTGTCGAAAAAACGAGTGGTGATGCCTAGAGGTGTGCAGGCATGAAGGTTGGAGAAAGGAGATTGCTGGTGGTAGAGCAGAAAACCTGACATTATCGGGGAAGGTAAGGGGGTAAGGATATATGAAAATGGAAGGGGTTTTTAACAATCAATATATACCAGGTAAAGGATGTGGAGTGGTTGTTGGCTTGTTTTAGGGAATTTTCCTGGGTGAAAAGGCGGTAAGGTATAGGGGAAGAGTCGGCGGAGCAGGTGGCACACACTGTGGATGGCTTTTTTGTCGAAACGAGTGTGGGTGGTTTCTGGTGTTTTTGGAGGGTAACAGTGGTAATGGCGGAAAAATTAACGTATTTTCTTGCCAGAGGGAGAGAAGGCGAATGGGTGCTGGCAGATGATGGGTGCTTTAAGCTTTGTTTGGATGATGGTTCAATAATGGTGGTATCGTTTTTTCATAATTTTTTTCTGTTTGTTTGCATTTCTAAACACATGATATAGTTTTTTGGTGGTTGAGTCATGGTTTTCAAAATCATGATTTTTTTCATTTTTTCAAACTACTGATTCGGTGTTTTATGATGGTTTGAACCCTTAATATTATTTATTATTTACAATATTACCCTTCTCTTTAATTTCTTCCACTCGACACTTCTTATATTCGTCTTCTTTTCAAAATATTATATATATGTTTAATTATATATATATTTTTATATATAAACACGTATTTATATATTCAATTAAATTCATGTATTTATATTTTTAATTATATATACATGTATATAATATATTTAATTATATCAATTTTATATGTACATATATTTATATATTTAATTATATATATTTTATTACATGTATACATAAATTTATATATGTATATACGTATTTATATATTTAATTATATATAAATACATGTATATAATATATTTAGATATATATAATTTATCATATATATATGTATTTATGTTTTTACTTATATATTATACATGTATATAATATTTTAATATTATATATATGTATACAATATATTTAATTGTATATATATTTTTAATTATATATATGTATATATTTAATTTATATATTTATAAATCTCTATATTTAACATTATATATATTTTTAATTTTTTTTCTTTTTTATTTTTTATTTATTACTATATAGAATAAAACATGGGTAAAATAGAAAATTTATTCAAATATACAACCATACCATCTTGTCAATTTAAATAAAAACAGCTGTTACTATCAAATATTAATAGATCATCATCCAAATATAGTTAAATTTAAACATTAATGAATTTTGCGCATACCCGACCGTACCTGACATTAATGAACCCTCATGTAAGTCATCAAATCAGAGCGTTAGAGGCGGTGGTTGAGGTGAAGCTAGAACCACCGACCAAGGAGAAGGAGATGGTGGAGGTGAAGAACCCTAACAACAATGGACGCACTGGACAGGCCGTAATGCTGGCTCGACTGTATATGTTGTAGTACGGAGCTGGGAGTACAACTAGAGTGGAGGTTCGGAGGTTCTTTTGCTGTGGTGTTGAGTCGGCTAGTGAAGTTTGATGGTTAGGGTCAAGAAGAAAGGATCCACACCCGTTTTTGGATCTTGGAAGTTTGAGATTCAAAAAATGGGTGACCAAAACGGGTTGGAGAGGGGTTGTTTTGAAGCTTTCCAAACGACACTGAGCTTGTCGTTTGGGTCGGATGAGTTCTGGGGGTGGGCTTGATAATAACAGACACG